TATAAAACCTGAAGGCAATGGTGCCTGAAAACTAAAAACAGCACTGTATAGAAGGAAGCTTCCCTAAAGGCTGTTTTGGACCACATTTCTCGCTCTTTGCCTGTCCTCACTTTTGCCAGGCACGTATTATGTAACCATACTCCACCATGTTCTCCTTTTTGTCCACGAAGGATTTTATTATGGCGTTGGCTTCCTTCTCCGGAATCGGTTCTTCCCCGTATTCTAACAGAATCTTTTTTACTTCCTCGGCAGGCAGTTTTCCTTTGTCGGCCTTATCGAAGCAGAGGAACGCACCCCAGATTTCACCTTCTCGCTTCTGAGCGTCGGAACACCAGAGTTGGGCAGCCATGGACAAGAAGGTTTCAAAACTGATCCTACCACGTTTTTCAGGGTCGCCCAGTTCCATGAAGGCTGCTATTTGAGCCTGTGTGGGTACCAGCTTCAGCCATCGCAGACACAGGCCGACCTCCTCAGTTTTTATTTTACCAGTGTTGGATTTGTCGAAGTACTTGAAACCCTTCTTTATCTCCTCGATCTCATGGTCCATCAAATCTTCGACCTTCATGATGCTGACGGCGCTTTTCCACACACCCTAGGCATATACCCCGCTCAGCAAGGGCTTTCACGCAGCTATCGATCCAAAAGCACGTCATTCAAAGTTGGCGAATGGGCTGGGATGTACTGAGGCACCTCACCAAACTGGGTTGAACCGCAAACGTTCAGGTCATATCTCTAGTGCTACGAGGGAATTGTGCCTCAATAAAATGGGCCATCCTTCCCTAGGAATACGATTTCTCGTCTTCCAAAACAAAGATATTTCAGAGAGATGAATACAGTGCAGGTTACTTTGCGACACACGGGAATACGAACAACAGCTGATGTTATTTGCATTTCTGTAAAGCGCGTGGCTGTCGGATCTGATAGACTTCTCAGTAACATTTGACTTTACAACAGTGAGCGAAAAGGACTGAGTTGACGACCCCACTATAAATGGTGTGATCAAAGCAGGGCTCTGAGATGGGATTGCTGACTTCCTGACACCCTAGAAGCGTAACAAGTGTAAGTCTTCCAGAAGCCGTTTGTCCCCAGTCCAGTGAATAGCCACACATCAGGTGGTAGCCAACCAGTCTCTTAACAGTTCTCACAGTCTCTGAGCTATTAGCTGCGGTCTGAAACGGATATATGTACTCCTTCCTGAGCTGTGATGCTAGGCCATCTGTAATACGGGAATAACAGTTACAGGATTCTTGCAAGAAAAGTAACTTGGGCACTTACATACAAAAGTGCTAGCATCGTATCTGTGCTGCATGTCATTTTTAATAAGTAAACATGAAATTTTTCAGGAAGACCATTCAGGGGGGCGAACTAGCCAATAAGAGCTTACTTTAGTTATCGATTGCTGACATTTGTAGGGAACACAAGATGGAATGAGGTACGTGGATCCGGCTAAAGCGTCCCACCCTCAGATCCGCTGAGCACCTTTCGTTCTACGTTTTATTTTGCCGTTCACCAGTGTTACCGTTGTTTTATTATTGCCCACACCTTCGTGGCTAGCCTCAAAATCTCGTACCTGTACATATACTTTTGCATCGTTCTTTTCTTTTTGTTAGTTCTATTATAATAACTCACTGTCTTATGTAATTGGTTGTTAAGCATTTAATGCTTGGTTAACGAGTGTAAATAAATAGTTAATTGTCGCCAATACAAGCAAACATGCGAGTCCCACGAACATGCCGAAAACGTAGCAGCAGTGCGGTGAAATGATGCTAATTCTCAAGTTGCGGCCCATTCGACGAAACCCGGCCACACATTCAAATTTGATGAGGCCGAAATTCTTGCAAGACGTGACAATCGGGTGAGCTGAGAATTACTTGAGTCATGGTTCACGGGTCCCCAATCCATCAACAAGTGCAATCCATATTTGGTGCTGAGACTCAATTTGGCCAAAGCAAGTCGTCGCTTGGGGAACGAACAGGCCACCGCCTCATCCTATACTACTACTGGAGGGCTAGATGACCGGGCAATCATCACGCCCGAGCCCACCACGCATGATGAAAGGTCTGCAGGTCAGAGCTCGCATGCCGTTCAACAGACCACCAACACTCGAGAAGGCCATTACGGCTAATTTTCTTCGTATGTTTGCAGTAATTACTGTATCCTATAAATACTGCAAAC